TCAGTTGACATCATTATCAGCTAAACATATTAAATTAAGAATAATATCTGTTTACTGTTTTGTAATGGGAAAAAAGCACTAGTGGAAAATCCCTCAAAGCTGGCCAATCTCTTTAATCCCATCTGGTGATTTTCTAGTCAGGGATTATTGCTTGTAGAGATTTGTTTTTTCACATAAAGAAATTAACAAAACCAGGCCAGACTGATTTAGCTAAGAAATTGGCTTAATACTTAGCATACACATTGTTCAGCAAGAGTAGCTGCGAGGTTAAAAGCAAGGCCTTACTCTTTGACCCTGCTGTCTGGGGAGGTAATTGCGGCTTTAAAAATCTGGTGCAGTTTGGAGACCAGGCTTCCAGAAGCCCCAAGTGAGGGAGTTCTTGACTCGTCCAGGGACAGAAGGATGTCTCACCCCCAGTCTGTGTTTGTTTACAAGGCTAGCCACAAACGGGTGTGTGGCTCTGAATAAAACCAGGACCAGGTGGCCTCGGAGCCGGGCCGGCAGCCTGTATCCGGGCGTTGATTTTTCTCACACACGCAGCTGCTCCCGTTCTCCAAGCGCCATTGTGACAGGTCTCTGCGGGTCTCCCCAAGCCACTCGCGGTCAGCGACTCCCTGCAGCAGCGCAATGCATCGCCTGAAGGAACACAATAGGCCGCTGGTAGCTGGAAGTCCCTCGGGCCGGGAGCGGCCCCGCACTCAGCAGTTTTGGGGGGCACCTTGCCGGCGGCGTCCGAGGCCGGAGGGAGGGCCGGGGTCCTCGCCGCCGTCCAGCCGTTCGCTCAGGCTCAAGCACTCGTCGTCAGCCGCGTCACGGATCAGGCCGAGAGAGACCACTTGGGAGGCCCAGAGCAATGAAATGTGTAACGGAGTGGCGTGGAGGGATGTGGAGGGACGGGCGGAAGCCGGGATGAGGGCTTAGCCAGAGGGGATAAACCACTTCTAGACAAGGCGGGCGATTGCTGCCAGTCACCGGCCTGTTACCAAATGTATTACTTTGTCTATTTTTATAGCACCTTTCAGCCTAACGGCTCTGGAGAAAGGGAACAGTTAGAAACTTTCCTCTCCACATCCTCTGTAGAAAGATAAGGAGAGTCCTAGTCACGCTTCGGTGAGACTCCGAGGGGGAGTTACTTTGTTGAAGGTCATTTGGAATCTGAGACCTTTCTAATGAAATGTCATCCCACCCACTCCCTGCCCCCGGGGCGAGGTGGTGTTAAGTCTCCAGACACTCCCTCTGAGAAGACTTGAGGAAATCATATATTCAGTGAGTTTACTTGAAATATAATAGATTCTAATAACCAAAGCCCCAAGGATATGACACATGCATCACAAGTAGATCCTGGCAAGTCACTGGGCTTTTTCCCTGGAAGACTTCAGCAGAATGTGGCTATTGGTTTCAAGTCTCCAACTCATTCAGCTTTACAGTTTAACTCTTTCCCCAAGAATCCCATAAAATTAAAATTGAGTCCTCCCACCCACTATGAGCCTGATCATTCTTCTCTGCTTTACTTCCCCTCTTATTATTTATTTAAATAATTTATTCCCTTAATAAATAAATATATTCTTTTAGTCATAAGTCAATCTCCATGAGGGTAAGTTTTGGGGGATCTGACTTGCAAATTTTCAATGACTAAATTATGCCTGTCTCCAACAGTGAGTGATAAACCTGTGAGTAGAAGTTACTGGATTCTTTTAAGTTAGAAGATACCAAATCATTTTATTTCTACTTCATAGAATGCTATTTCAAACATACTGTACTTGAAAGAATAACTTCAAGGGTCAAGCAGTGATCCTTGAAGGTGTAGGGTATATTTAACTAGGGCTTTATTTGGGCACCATTGTTTGCTTGGGGATTTTATTTGTTTATTTGTTCATTTTTAAAATTTAAATTTAAAGAACCCTTAGCAAGGCATGCACTCCTGGTTTGCCACAATCTCCAACACTCCCTATTTTTATACCCTAGTCTTAAGGCTTTACACGTTTCCTGTTCTTGCCAGCCTCTGAAGGCACTGAATTTGCCAGCTTTTATCCTAGTAGAAACTGACTTGCTTAAACTAAGACGTGTAGTTCTTCCTACCTAATAATTTACATTGTGACTTTGGGCAAATTGCTAACATTTTCGGGTCTCTTTCAATTCTCAAATTATCAACCCTGAATACTCGTTGAACTGATGCTGAAGCTTAAGCTCCAATGCTTTGACCACCTGATGTAAAGAGCCAGCTCATTGGAAAAGACCCTGATGCTGGGAAACATTAAAGGCAAGAGAAGAAGGGGGCGGGAGAGGATCACATGGTTGAATGGCATCACTGACTCAATGAACATAAGTTTGAGCAAACTCTGGGAAATGGTAAAGAACAGGGAAGTGTGGAATGCTGTAGTCAAAGAGGTTGCAAAGAATCAGACTTGATTGAGCAACTGAAAAACAACAATGAATGGATTGTTTGACAGCCTATGCTCAGTCATCTAAACCATTTTGGAAATTCTTAGCTGCTGTCAAATAAAATGACAATCCTTTATATGATTTCTAACATACAAAATTTCACAGATCATTTGTATTCTCTGGAGTGAGATGTCTCTAAATTCTTGTCCCTTTTTATAACCCCCCCTTTTTTTTCTATAACTTAATGAAAAGTTAGATTCAGTCACATGGAAATTCTTCTACTATACATTGAGCAACTGTAAGACCATATTGCATAAGGCTTCGTCTAGATATCATGGTCCATAAATATGAAACTTATATTTCAATATACCTAGAGTCTTAGGAAGGTCATACAAATTTATATGATGATAAATCTGTTTAAAATTCTAATCATAGTAACCCCTAAGTTAAATCTACTTGGCAAAAGAGACATTGAAAGTCAGCCAGAATAGATTGATATTAAAATAAAAGGTTGGCAACTAATCAGGAATGGTTACCAAACTTCAAGCTCAAATCTCTCTGAAGAATAAGAATAAAAATTATTTTCCATCTCTAATGAAACTTAGTACTTTTTAGATTGATCAAAAACACATTTGGTACTATCATCAGGAAGAAAGGTTCTACTGTAGTCTTTGAGAGTTTCATTTAGACTTTCATTACTGAATCAAACAAACACTTTGAATGCACCCACTAACATGCTTATGGGACCCCAGAGTACAAGAAATACTGATGGAAATTTTCCCAATGTTAACATTAGGGTAGTAAATGTAAAAAGATTATTTTAAATGGCATTTAAAAGAATACCTATACATAAAACAATTAAAAGATCCATATGTAACCAAAGAAAGAAATATGGTGACTTTATTTGCTTGAGATTCTTATATACTTTAAAAGAAATTATTCTTTAAAAAAAATTGAAGAACAGGACACTATAAAAAGAAGGAGAACTAAGGCCTCCATGATCTTAACAGGAAACATATCAGTTTCTATTCTGCCTGTTACTTTCTTGCTTTGTCTATAGCTTTGGCTATAGATAGTACATGTATTTTTACATTTGTAATTATAGTGATTGAACAATTCTGTATTTGGCTTTTTTCGTATAATTGCCTTCTAAACATTTTTCATGTTGCCGCAGGGTCCTCACAATATTTATTTTTAGTGATGGCATAATATTCCATCAAATTGCTTAAACATTCTTAATGCTGTTGCAATTTTAGTTTATTCTCAGTATTTAAAAAAATTTTTTTTTAAATCTAGTTGTCAGCATTACTGACTAAAATTCAGTACTATGATTTTATTTTTTTTTCATCCTTTTAGTATACACTATTTTCACCAATTGTTTGACTGTAAAAGAATCCTCTGGAGTTTCAAAGAACATGAAAAAGACATATTAAATCAGGATAAATTTCAAGCACTTGATGTCAAGTCATAAAGTACTCCACCACTTGTTAAAACTGCATGCTAGTAAAGCAGTAGACTCTGGATTCAAGATGCTGGGTCCTGCCTTTGCTTAACACGAGTATTGTGTGTTGGGGAAACTTGCTTCATTTTTCTGTGCCTCTGTCTTCTCATCTGCAAAACGGGATTAGTAATAGTACCTGTAAGACTATTCAGGTCTATTACTTACTATTCAGACTATTCAGTCTTACTATGTAAGACTATTCTGAGGATTAAACAAAACTCTGCCTGTTAAATACCTAGAACAATGTCTTTCGTATTTAAAGTGCTATATAAATGTTATCCTTTAAAATTATTCATTTATTTTTTTAAATTTTGACTGCACTGTGTCTTCGTTGAAGTGCACAGGCATTCTCTAGTTGTGGTGTGTGGACTTAGTTACCCCTTGGCATGCAGGACCTTATTTCTTCAACCAGGGATTGAATCCTCATCCCCTTCATTGGAAGGCAGATTCTTAACGACTGGACCATCAGGGAAATCCCATAAATTTTATTCTTTTAATGTTAGAATAGCTTTACTTTTTTTTTCTCTACAAAAATTCTACATGAAAGTAAGGGAAGTGGTGAGTTTTAAAACTTTAAGAAAAAAAATAATTGAGATAATTTCCTAGCCAGGAGCAACATTTTTTATAATCAAGTTTTTACAGTAGTGAAATATGTATTAATTCATTTAGCAGCAGTTAGATCCTAAGCTCTGGCATTAGTGTTTTCTCTGGTTACAATACCTAGGAATTCACTTCAGACATTTGTGACTATCATTCTGTTAACATAAACTTAATAGTAAGAGTCAACGTAAAATTGGCACCGTTTACTTAACACTGTGTGCCAGGCAAAACACTTGGACATTTTCAAATATTTTAACATCTGGCTCAACAACCTTGGGGGAAATTTTATTCCCCGAGTCTTACAGATGGGGAGACAGTCTCAGTAAGTTGAAAGGATCTGCCAAAACCACACACTCTGGGTAAGTGAGTAGCCAGCATTGATGGATTCAGATTAAGACCTAACAGAGAAGTGGAGAGACTCCTTTCAAGAGTGTCCATCCCACCAAATTTCCCGCCAAAGCCCCATTAGACATCAAAGTAGGTAAAACACACTTTTTCTTTCCTTTGCACATTGCAGGTACGAAGATGGATCAAGAGCCCAATGGTCAGTGTGGACAAGCATCAGAGTCCCAGCCTGAAGTACACGGGCCCCTCGGCCGTCCACGTGCCACCAGGGGAACCAGACTTTGAGCCTTCCTTGTGTCAGACGTGCCTGGGAGACCATGCTTTCCAAAGAGGGGTTCTCTCTCAGGAGAAGGAGTCGTGCTCGTGGGAAACTCAGTCCGGGTGTGAAGTAAGTTTGCTGTGGATCCATTCTCCTGAAAGGATTCTGGGTCTTTGTGTGTGTCTTTTTGTATCCATTCCAGAGTATGCTTTGAAATTTGTTATTTTTTTTAATGCACATTTGTAAAGCTTTTGAGGAGAACATAGAATTGTGGCCTGTGTTAGCTCATTGTACTAGCTATTTTTTCAAAAGACTTTACTTTTTTGAGCAATTTTTGGTTCAAAGCAATGCTGAGAGGAAGGTATAGAGATTTCCCATACATTCCATACCCCCAGACATACAGTCTCTCCCACTAGCAGCTTCCTCACGAGAGTGGAATATTTGTTACAACTGATGAACCTACACGGACACATCATCATAGTTAGTTGTGTTCATAGCTTACACAAGGGTTCACTCTTGATGTTGCACATTGTGTGAGTTTGAACAAATGTATAATGACATGTATCCATCATTATAGTATCATATGGAATAGTTTCACTGCCCTAAAAACCCTCTGTGCTCCACTTAAGCATCCCTCTCTTCTCCCAACTACTGGTCAAGCATGGATATTTTTGCTCTCTCCATTGTTTTGTCTTTCCCAGATGCCACCCATTGGAATCGTCCAATAGGTTGCCTTCATTTTTTATGCTATTCCAAGATTGATACAGCAATGTTTTGGTCAACTAGAAGTTGCTCCTAAGTTGTTTGATTGCACAGAGATCAATTCTTGTATGATGCAGGAAATATAACAGTCATCTAAAGTTTGTAACCACCACTGAAATATTTTTTGCTCAACATGGTTTGACCCATAACAGAGAACTTTATCAATAAGTTTTCATATATATTTATATTTTTAATTTTTCTATACCACTCCATGAGGTTTTTTTCCAGCGGTGGTAGGGGGTGGGAGTTGGTATAATAATTTCTCTTATTCAAGAAAGCCAAATAACTGACTTATTTCATAATTCTAAGGTTTCAAAGATTTAATATTGTATTTTTAACTTAAAACTCAATTAGTCTTATTTATTTTGACTTTTTAAACCATCATATTATATATTTATATTATTACCAACTTACTGACATAAAAACATAACAGTAAGAAAACAGGACGTGTTAATACAATGTAGAATTAATTGCAAATAATCTTCCACTATATTATTTCAAGTTAGTGCATCATAAGATGATGTTAATAACGCCTCCTTCCTTTTTTTAAAAAAGGCAAGCAATTTGCAGAGATAAAGAAATCACTTTAACTGCTAAAAAATAAAAATAAAAAGGCTTGAATCTGAATTCCTTTTAACACTGAGAAAGGTAGTATCTTTGAAACTGTTACCTCTTGAAAAAGTAAGACCCTTGTTTCTAGAGTTATTGGAAATATCAGATGAGATACATATATAATATTTCATAATCTATAAAGTGCCATGCAAATAGAAATCATTATTACTTATTGTTTGTTGATGTGCATTTTAGCTAAGCCTGTAAATCTGTGACACTGAATTAGACTTCCATGCGGAGGTTCGAAGTTTGCTGATCTACTAACATTTATCACAAGGCATTTATTGTTTCCCCTCATGAAGGAAATGGCAACCCACTCTAGTATTCTTGCATAAGAAATCCCATGGACAGAGGAGCCTGGTGGGCTGTAGTCCATGGGGTCGCAAAAGAATTGGACAGGACTTACCAACTAAAATAGCAACAACAACAAATTTGTTGTTTAGTTAGTCACTGGTTCAACTCCATGTTAGTCATAAAAGGCAATAAATAGACTTTAAATGCAAAGATTGGCAAACTTTTTCTGTAAAGATTCAGAGAGCAAATATTTTAGGCTTTGTAAGACATACAGTCTCTGTCACTCTGATTTAGCTCTGCCCTTGGAGGAAAAGCAGCCATAGATAACACACAAATGAATCGGCCTGACTGTGTTCGAATAAAACTTTTATTTACAAAAACATGTGGCTGGTCCACCAGCCATACTTTGCAGACTCTTGGACTCTTAGTGTCTAAAAAGAGTTTGCCAACTCCTTAGAGTCTAAAGAACTATTCATGACTCAAAGGCAGAGAGAGAGCTCTGCAAATCCTATATAGAGCACAAATGGCTAGTCCTAAATGTTTAGTGGAGGGCCTACTATAAGGCCCAGCTGATGGGAGGAGAGCTAAGTTAATGAATAAATGAAATTCCACTCAAGAAGAAACAATAAACAAAGAATAGAAGAGATTTTTCTTTTACTTTATCCAGGATTATAGGTGACTCAGTCTCCAATTTGCAATAGATTACCTGGTTTTGACACGGGCTTCCCTGGTGGCTCAGTGATAAAGAATCTGCCTGCCAGTGCAGGAGACGTGGGTTCAATCCCTGAGAAGATCACCTGGAGAAAGAAATAGCAACCTACTCCAGTATTCTTGCCTGGGAAATCCCATGGGACAGAGGAGTCTGGCGGGCTATATAGTCCATGGGGTCACAAAAAGTCAAACATAACTTAGAGAGTAAAGAGCAGCAACCTGGTTCTGACTAGGTGGGTTTTTTTTTTTAAATGTCATCACAAACCAAAGAGACGCTTATATTTTGACAGTCTGAAAATGAATCTAGGTACTTCCCTGGTAGTCTAGTGGCTAAGACCACACTTCTACTCCCAGGTCCATGGGTTCAATCCCTGGTCGGGGAACTGAGATTCTACAAAAAAAATTAAAAAGGTGAATCTATACTGTGTGTCCTTTAGGAATTGAACCCTGAAATAGTTCCTTGAGAAGGCACCTCTGTCCTTTGAGGAAGCAGAGATGTGTGCTGAGGAGATGGAGAGTTTGTTAGATGCAGAGGCCTGGTAGTGAGTGTCCCCGGTTGTCCCCAACAACTCCTGATGTGGATTATCTTAAGCAAGTCATCAATTCATCCTTCCTGCTCAATGTCCCCTCCTATGAAAACTGAGATTATTCATGCTTGCCATCAAGGTTCTTCCTAGGTGTTTTTTGGTATTTTGCAGATGAGATGGGGATTAAAAAGTCTTTAAAAATTTATGTAAACATAAATTTACATATAGCGTTCTGGAGTCAAGCAACCCACATTCTGCTATAGCTCTGCTCCAAGGTCAGTGTGTGAACTTGAACATGTCACAAAAGCTCTTAAACACTGTATGATTGGCCTAACCTAATTAACTCTAAAGCCCTTTTTAGTCTGAAATCTTGTGGTTGGAATTTGATGACCTATAAATGAGAAAAAACAATATTTGATGTATAAAGATAAAGCATAGAAAATGAGGTGACAAGATTTCAAATAAATAAGAAAGCAAACAAAGCACAAGTGTTTTATGAATAATTGTGAGGGTTTTTTTTTTCCTGACTTTAAAAATAGTACAGCCTAAATGTTACCTTTAATGGCCAAAATATCACTAAAATATATATTGCTATTAATTTGTGCCAGGTCTTGCCAATTGTCTAGTTAGTAGCCTTTAAACGTGTCTCTTCCATGGAAGAAACTGGGATATACGCACTGCCAGTGAATCACTTAGAAAAACAATATCGTGATGTTACTAGTAGCGCTGTCTAAAAATGGGCTGTTTATTAAACAGACCTTCCTGGGAATGAGATGGGAAAAGGATAACATGGAGCTGTGTATGCTGTTACTGAATATGTGTGCCAGAGGAACTTGAGTTGAAGTCAACTTTTAGTTCCTAAAGAGATGGGAACCATACTAGGTTTTCAACGGGTGCATGCTGACTAAGCATAACTATAAATTCTATTCTTCACCTTCTCTCTCACAGCACTTCCATTATCCAGATCATCCTAGCTGGAAAACAAGAAAGGAGTGTTTTGGCTTAGTTTTTCTTTTATTTTACTTTTTTAGTTTTTCTTTTAAATTTATTTTTATTTATTTATTTCTTTGGCTATGATGGGTCTTAGCTGTGGCATGTGGGATCTTCAATCTTCACTGCAGCATGTGGGATCTAGTTCCCCAACCAGGGATTGAACCCAGACTCCCTGCATTGTGAGCTCAGAGTCCTAGCCACTGGACAACCAGGGAAGTCCCAAAAAAGGAGTGTTTTGGAGTGGCAGAGGGGAAGGAGATCTGGTGTTAGGGAAAGCATAGGATTGGATCAAGATGGCAGCCTGAACATTTAATGTCGTCTCTTCTTACCTTAAATGACAGAAAACACTCACACACACAAAAACACACACATCTTAATTTATAATAGTGCTAGAAAACAAGGTATGCCATTGTATGGATAAGATCTCTGAAAAACAGAAGGCAGGTAGGATTGATGAGAGAGAGGTTGATGAGAAACGACAGTCCCAAAGGATCACATCAAAGACATATCTAAGAGATTGGAATATTGTAGGGGTTTTGTATTCAAAAGAATACAGTATGTTGAAAAAAAGAAGATGATCCACACAAGACATAATAAAAGGAAAGCAGGGCTTCCCTCATAGCTCAGTCGGTAAAGAATCTGCCTGCAATGCAGGAGACCCGGGGTCAATTCCTGGGTCGGGAAGATCCCCTAGAGAAGGAAATGGCAACCCACTCCAGTATTCTTGCCTGGAGAATCCCATGGTCAGAGAAGCCTGGTGGGCTACAGTCCATGGTTTGCAAGAGTCGGACACAACTTAGCGACTACACTACCACCACAGGGTTAACAATATTAATATCAGGAAAAAATACAATGTAAGGCAAAAAAAAACTTGAAAGGACCAAAGAATATTCCACATTGATGAAAGATAGCTATTAAGAAAAGAAAATAGTCACCAGCCTTTATGCACTTAGTAACATAACATGGAAATATTTAAAGCAACAAATAATAGAAAAACTTATGTCATAGAAGAATATTTTTGTCATACTTCTCCCAGGAATTGCCAGTTCAAGAAGACTGATAATATGTGAGGACAGAGAACTTTAATACAACAATTAACCATATCTGATTTATGCTGAGATTAGTATCCAGTAAAGAATATTATGTGCTTACTATTTTAAGCACATAGGGAATGGTTACAAAAACTGACCAAGAATTAGATCACGAAGTGTATCTCATCAAATTCCAAAA